CAAACCTGTAAAAAAACATCGTGGGATACTTAAATCCCCCCGAAACTGATGGAGCATCCCCTGCACATGCGCAGGGAACGCTCTGCACACTCCCTCGCCGCCGCCGCGGGGGGGAAGAGAGTAGCGAGGGCCAAGCGGCAAGCCGCTCGGCCCTCACTTCGGTGCCGGGGTGGGGGGAGATCAAGGCGGGGGTGGAGGAGACGGGGGAACCGGCGGGATGGGGGGTACTTACCTCCTCCTGCTGCTTCCTCTGCCTCCCCCCTGCAAGTATCGCGGGTCCGCCCCTTGTAATTTCTTTAAACATTAAAGTTAGAAACAAGGAACCTACAATCTGAAAAGTCATTAAAAATTAAGGTATTGTTTTGAAGGATTCTATAATAATTTAAGTGGCTGTGGTGGCTCAGAGATTATGACACTGAGCTGCAGACTGGAAGGTCGGTAGTTCAGCAGTTCGAGACCCGAGTGCCGCGTGACAGAGTGAGCTCCCATCTCTGATGCCAGCTCCTGCCAACCTAGCAGCTCGAAAGCAAGAAATTGCGAGTAGATAAGTAGGCACAGCTTTGGTGGGAAGGAAAAAGCATTCTGTGCACCTCGGTGTCTAGTCATGCCAGCCAGCCACATGATCACAGAAACATCTTCGGACAGAGCTGGCTCTTCGGCTTGGAAATGGAGATGAGCACCGCCCCCTAGAGTCAGATTCAACTAGCTTTTTAGCAAGAGAAACCTTTACCTTTACTTATAATAATTTAACCCTAGGAAACCAGCAGCCAAAATCATTAATTGTTACATATTAATAATGTATAATGGAACAACTATTCTGCTTCTCTATTGTAGCATAAGTCTCCAGTCTCGACTTGAGCATTGGAGAATGTTTTTTAATTTATGAGTGCATTTCCTCGATTATAATAGATCCCCTGACGAAGCCAGAGGCGAAACGTGTCGAGATTAGGAAACAATAATAATAAAGGATACAATATGTTGTCGAAGGCTTTCACAGCCAGAGTTCATTAGCTGTTGTAGATTTTCCGGGTTGTGTGTCCGTGGTCTTGGCATTGTAGGATCTGAGAGTACTCCATCTTCATGTGTTATACCTCTGAGGATGCCAGTCACAGCTACTGGTGAAACGTCAGGTTCTACAATGCCAAGACCATGGCCATACAATGCGGAAAATCTACAACAGCCAGGGGTCATTTCCTGCAGGAGCACACAGGAGCGGAGCTCTGGGAGTAAAGAGCCCAGGGGGCGGGCACATGCAACAAGCCCCGCCCACTGCTCCCAGCAGCCCTCAGTCAGAGCAAGAAGCAGTCAGGTAAGTTGCAGAGCTCCCCCCCGGCCCCCCGGCCCAAAACAGTCCAGTGGCACCTTTAAGACCAAGTTTTATTCAGGTACAAGCTCTCCCTCCTCTGCGAGGACAGATCTGCACGTCTCTCCCCACCCCAATAGCTAGCAATCCAAAACAGTCCAGTGGAGCCTGAGCGGTGGGTGTTGCCTTCTGACACACTTCCGGTGATGTCAGGGGGTGTGGCATAAGCAAATGAGTTTTGCTAATAAGTTATGCTAATGAGCTCCTGCACCTCTTTTTCTACGAAAGGACCCCTGACAACAGCTAATAAAAAAAGACACTCCTTGATTTCTTCTGCTCCTGTTACTCCTGGTGTGGCCCCGACTTCTTCCATTTTGTGTCTGACTAATTTAATCATAGAACATTCCCTAGGAACAGCAGAAAAAATAGAAGGTTCCCTTTTTAACAAAAACAAAAGCTATAGAATATATATTTTTAGTGGTCAAAGAAAACAGCACAACACGATGTACAAGCTTTCACATTCCTCAGAATTCTTGCTCTGGCTGGATGTAAAAAACAAGAGGGGGGTGTCTTTTAAGATATCCCATGAACACATGAAGCTGCCTTACACTAAATCAGACTTTTAGTCTATCAAGGGGAGTATTTTGATTGGCAGTGGCTATCCGGGGTCTTAGCTCGAGGCCTTTCCCATCACCTCTTACCAGATACTTTTTGCTAGAGATCAGTGTTCCCTCTAAGCTGAGTTAGTGTGAGCTAGCTCACAGTTTTTTAGCCTCCAGCTCACACATTTTTGTCTTAGCTCAGGAAGGATGGCTCCAGAACATACTAATTTATGCAGCAGCCAAATCTCCTGCTCACAACTTTAATGCCAATAGCTCACAAAGTAGAATTTTTGCTCACAGGGCTCCATAGTTTAGAGGGAACATTGCTAGAGATGCCAGAGATTGAACCTGGGTCCCTCTGCGTGCCAAGCAGATGTTCTGCCACTGAGCCTCAGCCCCTCCCTAGCTACTTTATACCAAATTTGCCAAGGCCACTATTGTCTACTCTACTCAGACTGGTGGCAGCTCCCCGGGGTCTCAGGCAGAGGTCTTTCACGCCACCTATTACCTGAGCCTTTAACTGAAGATGCTGGAGATTGAACCTGGGACCTTCCGCATGCCAGCAGATGCTCTGCCACTGAGCAAGGGATGGAGGGAGCCTGAGAATGCAGAGCATGATCCTGCCAGACCATGCTCTAGGGTTAGGGCTGAAGGACCCATTTCTTCTTCCCTCAAGGCAACGTCCGTCCTTTGGGTGATTCTGCATCTGGCATTCGCTCCACATTTTCTCAACTGGGAGGAAAAGGTGCCGCTCAAAACCACATTCAAATACCATGGGGGCAATGCCGTACTGACTTCAAAGTCACCCCTGAACGGCCATAAATCTATGCAGAAGGCACCATAGAACCCAACGAACATAGAAAGTGAAAGTGGCATGCAGTGTAGAGGCTACCATAAAACCCGATGGTCAAAGAAAGTGAAACTGGCATGCAGTGTGGAGGCTACCATAAAACCCGATGGTCAAAGAAAGCGAAAGCAGCATGCAATGCAGAGGGGAATTTCTGTTCCAAGGTGAGCTTGGTAAGACAACGGAAAGAAACACCAATGCAGAATTGCCCTTTGAATGAGAGAGCCTGCTAGAAGGGGAGGAGTAACCAGGTAGTGTTACCAACCTCCAGGTGGTTCCCCAGAAATTATAACTGATCTCCAGACATCAGGGATCAGTTCTCTGGGAGAAAATAGCTTCTCCAGAGGGTGAATTCAATGGCATCATGCCTCATTGAGGTCCCTCGCCTTCCCAAACCTCACCCTCCCCAGTCCCCACATCGAAATCTCCTGGAATTTTCCAACCTGAAGCTGGAAAACTTAATGGGGCTTGCAGCCCAAAGGCTCAGTCTTCCAAAGAGCCGCCTGCCAAGTCACAATGCCAGACCGAAGAGTCTGCTGCTCGCCCCACCTGATTCAAAACTGTTTGTTTTTTAAAAAAATGTTAGCTTGAATCATTCATGGCCAAAGTGATGATTCACCCTCAAGTCTATTTGGTACCCTGCTTCTCCCTCCCTCCCTCCCTCCCTTGGGGTGGGTGGGGTCCTTTTCCACAGCCAGCCAGCCAGCCAGCCAAGTGATGGGCAGTTTAAGAAATAAGCATTTTGAAACTTGCCGAAGGTTTTTCCACATTGCAGATTGCTCACAAGCAGTCTCAGGCCCAAGCTTTTCCTGGACTCGTTTCCTTTGTGAGGATAACAGGCCGGAAAAAACAGGTCTTTTTTCTCTTTGTTTACCCCCGTATACAGCGGACGAGGAAGAGGGGCGGAAAGGCCCCGGCCGATCAGCGAAAGAGAACTTTCCGAACAGCATCTCTGAGCGAACGTTTTCGTCCTGGTACCGAAAAGCAAAATTTCCAACTTGTTCGGCTTTTCCTGGGGCTGCTTCCAAAAACGTCAAAACGGGTTTTTCCCCCCAGCCCCACCCAAACAAGTGCAAATGTTTCCGTGGCTGTGTGGTTTCCAGTGCTGTCAAGCAGCAGTTGACTCATGCCGACCCCAGCAAGGGGCTTTCGAGACAAGCAAGAGCAGAGGGGGCCTGCCATTGCCTTCCTCTGCAGAGTCTTCCTTCCAGTACTGACCAATCACCCTGCTTAGCTTCGGAGATCTAATGAGATTGGACTATGCCAGGCCCAGGGTTCCCTCTATGCTGAGTGAGTGTGAGCTAGCTCACAGTTCTTTCGCCGCCGACTCACACATTTTTGTCTTCGCTCAGGAAGGAGGGCTCCAGAGCAAACTGATTTGTGCAGCAGCCAAAACCCTCGCCCGCAACTTTAATGCCAGGAGCTCACAAAGTAGCTGTTTTGCCGAAACTTAACAACAAAGAAGATGAAGCGTTTTTTGCAGACAGGATGGACTTTAAAGTGTATCTAGAGAAATACTGGGATGTTAAGAACCATTTATTGTGCTTTAATCACTATTAAGAATAGAATGTGTAAAGAGTTGAACAGAAGACGATGGTAGTGAAAGAAATGTTACCTAAAAGATAGAATATATTAAAAAGGTAGTTAAAATAATAATTGTATATTAAACTTTGTTTTAGGAGAAAGGATTAGACAAGAAATGAAACTAGGTAGGGGTGGGATCACTGTGGGAAGCCTGGAGAAAGGGAGGGAGGGAGGAAGGGGAAAGGGTTACAATAGAAATGAGGGAATGCTATAATATTGGACATGTTGTTATGACCTGACAATAAAATGTTTTTCAAAACAACAACAACAACAACAACAACAAAGTAGCTGTTTTGCTCACAAGACTCCACAGCTTAGAGGGAGCATTGGCCATTCCACTGTCCCTCTCCCTCCCCTCCTCTTTCAGCACCTGTCATTCATTAAAAGCATGAAGCTTAGGCCACAGTTTAGAGAGGAAATTCCTCTGGTCACGAGACACAACCCCAAAGGGATGCCCATTACAAGAGACAGATGCAGATTTTCATCAACCCACTCACTGAGAAGCTCATTTGCCTGCGTCCCCCGACACTGGGCAGGATGACAATTAGGCCTGCCGAGAATATGGGGAGATGAGGGAAGGCTTGGAATCCCTTTGGCTATACAGAATGTGTGCTATCATCGTTGGATGCCCAAAATCTACTTCCAAACAGCCCCGGACACTTACCCAGATCTATGATAGCGGCCAAGAGGCAGATGCCAAGTGACGTCTGCATCGTTCCAGATGTGGGCTGCCACCGGGACCCAAGCCAGGCGGGAAACATTGAACGCAGCAAAGCCTTTGATCCAGCTGTGGCTTTTCCGCAAGGGAGGGGGGAGCAGAGTACAACCTCCCAGGAAGGGGAGGAGGCGCTGAAAGAACTCCTCCGGTCTCTGCCCGGCCTCCAAGGTCAAAGGTAATAAAGAAATAATGAGAGAATAACGGCTTTCCCCGAGGAGGCCTGTCAGGGGAGTCCGATCCAGCACTTCATGTCCTTAAATCCTAACGTGCGTGAGATCTGGAGAAATCCCAGCAGAGGACCCAGAGTTCGGATGCACCAGCCAGTACAGGAGATGCCGAGTAGAGAGTGGCAAGGAACCCAGCCACTCTTCTGGATCAAATGTCTTTCTGGAGTCTCCATTTACTTCTTTGTTGCCATTCGTGAGGGAATCTGGAGAAAGCCTCATGCTTCTCTGTCAATCCCAAAGAACTCAGTCGACTCGATAGCAGCCTGTTCGGACACACTTTTGTATTGGCCAGCCTCTGCTCGGCGGGCCTGCTTTGCAGAGATTTTAGTGACTGGTTTCTCTCTCTCTCTCTCTGCTTGCCCTCCCCTGCTAAACATTGGCTCACGCCCCTAGGAAACAACAAGGCAGAGTAGGCAGAAAGCCAGGCCTACGTTGCTGGCTCTGGCCCCCAGCTTTTAGAGTGAGCTACGTCCCTCCCATTCTCACAGGCGAGCTCTGGGAAAGGGTGTTAATTCCGCACTGGTTTTTCTTACCGTTGCTGAGCAGCAGGGCTAGCCAAGAATGCAGGGGCCAAGGAGACAGGCCTGTTCAGTATAATTGCATGTCCCCAAGTATCAGTACTGCGTGAGGGCTGTTCACCCTTGACATTTCAGTGTAAGCAAAAAAGAATTGCTTGTGTGTGGAACAGAAAGGAAAGCCACAAATGGAAAGGATCTTCCTCACACAGGTTTTCTTCCTTTGGCTTCCATTGTCCAGGTCTCTGGCTTCCTTAATCTTTGACCAGTCAGAGTGTTTCCAATTGTGGAGTCAGCATGTCTGCACAAACATGCAGGGCTGTTTTTGTAGCAGGAACTCCTTTGCATATTAGGCGACACGCCACTAATGTAGCCAATCCTCCAAGAGCTTACAGTAGCCCCTGTAAAAAGAGCTTTGTAAGCTCTTGGAGGATTGGCTACATTAGGGGTGTGTCGCCTAATATGCAAAGGAGTTCCTGCTACAGAAAGAGCCCTGCAGCCTCCATGCACACAACCCTGTCCGAGATGTACAACTTCTTTATGTGCACTGAGAAAGAAATTGTTCTATTTATGAAAAGTTGTGAACCACTGTGGTAATGGACTTATAGGCCTGGCTGGAATCCCCTAAAGCTTGGCTTAACCATTCTTCTCCCCACCACCATATGTGGGCTCTGCCTAGACCGAGGTGTCAAACATGCAGCCCGTGGGCTGGATCTGGCCTTTTCAGGACTCCTATATGGCCCTTGAGCAACTGGCTCTCTCCTGCTTCCTTCTCCAGTTCTGCTACTGCTGCGTTACAACTTGCTTTAACAGACTCTCTCAATCACACAGGAGTGATAAATAGGCAAGCCTCTGTTCTCTGCATAGGTTGAGGCTCTTCCCCCACCGCCTCCCAGGGGAGGGAGGAAATAAGCCAGAGCTTGCTTTCTGGCCAGGCTGCCTCAATTGCACAGGAGACAAAGGCAAGCCTTTCTTCCCTTCCGTTGGCTGAGGTTCCTCCCCTTTGCTCAGTTGCCTCAATTGCACAGGAGAAATACAAAGCACCTTTAAGGCCAACAAAGTTTTATTCAAAGTATGAGAGTTTGCGTACCTTCCTACAGTGTGTGTGTGTGTTGTTTGACTTGTTATACTCTGTGTGCATGGGCGTGTGTTGTTGGGCTCGTTATGCTGTTGCCCTCCCCCTTTATCACTGTATTCATGTCCTCATGATTCAGTCTTTCTCAGTAGGAAACTAATGTGAACTATTTAGATGAGGAATAACAACAAGCCAGTTAGGTGGATTAGGCTGAGAGTGTGTGTTCAGACCAAGTTCACCCTGCACATTTCCTTTGTAGACTGGGGATTTTGAACCTAGACTTCCCAGATAGCAGGCTGATACTGACCACTATATATGGCTGTCTCTCTATTCTTACACTACCTCATAGGAGTTGCAGTTATTTTTGGGGGGGAAGACTATAGTTTTGTAGACAAAGACATAGCCCTTACTCTATGTCATGATGTCTTCACATGTTCTTGACCAGCACACAAAGCAATTTTTGTACAAAAACTCACTTGTATAAACGTTTTTATTTTAAGTTTAAAAAAACCTTGAATTGTGTTTGTGTCCTTTATAAAGTATACATTACATTTTATGACACACATGGCGCAGCCCGACAAGATCTCATTTATATCACACCAGGCCCTTATAACAAATTATTTTGAAAGCCTTGGTCTCAACCACTTCTGAAGCTTCTGTCTTAATATCAGTAGAACAGACTTAAAATCCCCAAGAGGATGCCCAGTACAGGATATTGATGCAGTTTGTAATAAATCCACTCACTGATAAGCACAAATGCCTGCTTCCCCCAGCACCCAGTGACCATACAGCCCTTCATTATTAACCCTCAAAGGCTTAACCTTGAACCTGATCCCGTATTCCAGTGGGAGCAAGTGCAGCTGGCGCAGCACAGGTTGAATGTGTGTGGTCCGCAATGTCCCAGTAATGGCCCCTGCCTCCCCATTCTGGACCACTTGGAGTCTCCAGGTCAGTCTCAAGGGCAGGCCAGCGTAGAGCAAGTTGCTGTAATCCGATCTGGAGGTGACCTTTGGATGGATTACTGTGGCTAGGTCAGGGTGAGACAGGAAAGGGGCCTGCTGCCTAGCCTGGCACAGCTGGAAAAGGGCCAGCTTGGCAACATTTGTGAGGAATACTGGAGGAATACAAATGCTACTCCAGATAACACAAGGGCTGGCTATAGGGTTGCCATTCCCCCAATGGGGGGAGCCCCGCCCTCGAAGACCCCTGGAGGTAACATCATCACACTGGGCACATCGTGCAGGGGATGCTCTAGCATTTAGGGGGAAACTCTATGGTAAACGCTCTAGGATTCAGGTAGAAAACTCTATGGTGACCATAGAGTTTATTACTTGAATGCTAGAGTGTCCCCTGGATGACATGCGCAGTGTGATGACATCACTTTCGGTTGACATCGTTGTGGCATGTGTGCAAAGTGAACATACCAGAAGACCCCAGCAGCCAGGCTGGAGCCCCCCACCAGGACACTGATAAGACCTGGGAACCCTAGCTGGCTAAGCTTCAACAGTGGTAGCAAGAGAGAACCCTACGTGCTCAGAAGTACTCTGGTAATTTAGAAGGGCATTGTTATAGATTGACTATTAATAGTTATACTGTTGTGTTTGTGTGTGCTTGATGGGGCGGCTCACACAGGGCACACACTAGTCCCATGGCTCTTGTGGTTGATGGGCCATGTGAACGTGGCACTCCGTGAGCCATGAGCAGAGTAGGGTTGCCAGCCTCCAGGTGGGACTTGGAGATCTCCTGGAATCATAACTCACCTCCAGCCTACAGAGACCAGTTCTCCTGGAGAAAATGCATGCTTTGGAGGCTAGACTCTGTGTCATTGTGCCCCACTACAGTCCACCCCTTCCCCAAACCCCACCCTCCCTGGGCTCCACCCCCCCAAATCTCCACGAATTCCCCAACCTAGAGTTGGCAACCGGAAGGGAGTCCCCCTGCTCTAACCACTGCACTGCACTGTGCCGAAAGGGATCTATTAAAAGGGGAAAGAAGTTGCAAACAAGTGGTTCGTTTGGGAGGATTTTTGCTTGTTTTGTTACTCCACTGTAACATGCAGGCAGTGCTGTCCCAGTGAGAAAACGGGCGGGGAGGGGGGGAGATTCCACAAGCACAACAGCTGTCAGATTGCTTGTGAGAGATCTGGTAAGCTGGGCTTCAAGCCGAGGGGCGGTAGCCTCTGCCTCGCTCGGGTTTCACAATCAGCCCCAGTGAACAAAGTGCAAAAACAAATCCACAGGTCATGGCCCAGCAGAAGCTCTCCTTCCGACTTCTGGGAAGAAACGTGCAGTAAAGTTGAAACAACATGGGGCCTCTGCTCACTGAGCAAGACGTTTTGTCCTTTCCTGTTCGATTCAGCCTTGAAAATCTCACTATATGATTACAACAGCTAGAATGACATATGCTCAATGTTGGAAACAGGGGGAAGTACCAGAGATCTGGGAATGGATAAAAAAAGTTAACTTTCATGGTTGAAATGGACAAAATGACCAGAAAACTTAACAACCAAGAGGCAGAGGAATTTTTCGCAGACTGGAAAGACTTGAAAGACTATTTGGAGAAATATTGGGAGGTGAAGAACCACTTATTTAGCTTTGACAACTATTGATAGAACGGTATTTAGAAGGTCTGTAAGTGTATAAGGATAATAGTGTTACCTCATAAGTTTAAGTAATAGATGAAAGATGAAGGGAAATGAATAACAAAAAAATTGGGAGGGAGGTTGGAGCACTGCGGGAAGCCAGAAGGGGGGGAGGATAGGGGTAGAAAAGGATATAAAATGACGGGGAAAATGTTATATTGTTTGGTATGATGTTATACCCTAATAAAATTGTTTAAAAAAAAAAAAAACCTTGAAAATCTTACTGGGTTGAATCGGCCACACCAGTTGTGCATTTTTTTTGGGTAAGACTCTGAGGGAAAATGGCTTGAATAAAGCCCCCCCCCCTTCAGCATTTTTGAGCCAGCAGGCATCTTTGGAAATGTGTCACAGGGTGGTCGGTGCAACTACAAAAGGTAGGATTGCCACCCTCCAGGTGGTTGTATAAATATGAAGACACTCCGTGAATGAATTACGAACAAAAGCAGAAAACTTATATCGTATGATACAATGCAAACCATTCGGAATCTTTGTTAAAGACCCCTTTAACTCACAGAAGACGTGGAACTATTGTACTCCTGAAGTTTTTTATACAAAGGAATTGTGGACTCTAATTGTATTCTCCCTTTGTATTAAGTACTTTTTGATCCTAGCTCTTTAAAAATATATATACAGTTCCTTTCTACATTTCTATAAATGTATTGTGAAAACTCAGACCAGCACCCTTGAGTCTGGTGTTCTTGGACCCGTGCACATTAAAGTAAGTTGTGTTTTTCTGTTAAGGCATCTCTGGTCTGGGGTGTGGTTGTTTCCAGATTCAGCCTTTAGGGTGACCCAGCGTGCCAAAGAAATTCTCCAAGACAAGGTCCTCAACATTTTGAGCCTGTGGGCAACTTTGGGATCGTGACACAGGGTGGTGGATGCAACCCCAAAATGGGTGCCACAGGAGGCAGTGCCAACCCCAAAATGGCTGCCATGGGAGGCAGAGCCAACTGCAAAATGGCTGCCCCAGAAGGCAGGGCCAAACACACAGAGGAAGCCCGAGTGCAGAAGAGAAGAGGGGTGAATTTAAATATATACTGGGAAACTGGAGTGTGAGAGGAAAAAGACAACACTGTGGTGGCATCTGCCACTGAAACAACATTATTTTAATCTGTATAGCCAATTGGATCTTAAGCGGCCACAAAGGAGCCCTGCTGGGCAAGTCCCCTACCTGGCCCCATCCACCTCCCAAAAACTCTTGGGTTCCAGGAAAGGTGTTGGCAGGGGTCTTGACACCCACGGGCCAGGTGTTGGGGACTAGGGCTGCCAAGTGGGGGCGGGTGGCGGGTAAACCCCCGCTTTGGAGGCCCGATTTCCCCCACCGTGGAATCGGGCCCCGGTGGAACCCCACCCCGGCATGCGCGTCACCAGGAAGTGACGTGGGCACGCCGGGCACGCTGGGGGCGGGACCATGGTCATACAAGGGAAAACTCTATGGTTTTCCCTTGTATGACCATGGCCCCGCCCCCAGCATGCCTGGCATCCTCCCGTCACTCCCAGGTGACGTCCCCCCACAAGATGCCGGCCGGGAGCCCCCCGCTCCCGGCAAAGATACACTTGGCAACCCTATTGGGGACCCCAATCTATATTGTGGTTTCATTTGAAACTGTGCATGCAGTTTGGGTTATTATAACGTATCAGCGCCAGAATACAGAACTGGAATAAAATAACATATCAAACTTTATTTTAAGGATATCAGAATCAGAATGATTCGTGCCATGTTTATGCACACACAAATACAGAATTTGACAAAGCACCCTGAGAAAGCACCTTACTGTGCTATTCTAGGCAGATTTACACCCTTCGAAGCCAATGGATTTCAGAAGGGCACAACTCAACTTAGGATCCCTTAGCTAATTTTCTTTTTCAACCGGATGCATTCCAACTTTCAGTCTTCTTCAGTGGCCAATTTTCTGAGTGGGGAATTCCAAACTGTGAATGTTTTAATCAATTGATAAAGTCCTTCCGCTGGCAAGTCTAGCCACATTGTAGTTTGTTTTGTTTTGTTTTTTTAATCACTCACAATAGAATTCATTCCTGCAGCTCATTTTTCCTCTGTGGAGCTTGAGACAGCAACCAGCAAGTTTAGTGTCATGGTTAAGAGCCGTGGACTCTAAATATGGAGAACTGGGTTTGATTCCCCACTCCTCCACATGCAGCCAGCTGGGTGACCTTGGGTCAGTCACAGTTCTCTCGGAGCTGTACTCACAAAGAGTTCTCGAAAGAGCTCGCTCAGCCCCGCCTATGTGACAGGGTGTCTGTTGTGGGGAGAGGAAGGGAAGGAGATTGTAAGCCGCTCTGAGACTCCAAGTGAAGGGCGGGGTATAAATCCAACTCTTTGGCTGCGGTCACACAGACTAAATAATCCACTTTCAACGCACTTTTGAATTGGATTTTGCCAGTTCACACAGTAAAAATCCAGTTACTGTGTGAACTGGCAAAATCCAATTCAAAAGTGCGTTGAAAGTGGATTATTTAGTCTGTGTGACCGCAGCCTTCTTCACTCTTTCTGCTTCATCAATTAATGTATTTATCCTCTGTTCTCCTTCCCAACGGGGACCTAATACACATTCCTTTCGCCTCCTCCATTTTATCCTCACAGCAACACTGTGGGCTAGGTAAGGATGAGAGACCCTTTCACGAATACTGAATAATGCACTGTCAGTGCACTTTGCAACTGGATTTTACTGTGTGAAGCGGCACAATCCACTTGCAAACGATCACTAAAGTGCACTGAAAGTGCATCATTCGGTGTCCGTGAAGGCACGCAATAATTCCTCACCCATCAGTTCATCCAGTACATTCCATGGCAAATGGCAGCTGGAGCCCTGATCTTGCCAGTTCTAATCAAAGACTCTAAACCATGCTATCCTCTCATGGAGGATAGGTCTATCAGTGGCTACTAGCCACAGTAGGGTTGTCGGCGGACCGGGGGACCAGGAAGTGACGTTATGATGCCGGGCATGCTGGGGGCGGGGCCACGACCATCTGAGGGAAAATCATAGAGTCTTCCCTCGGATGACCGTGGCCCTGCCCCCAGCGCATCCGGCGTCATAATGTCACTTCCTGGTGACGCGCATGCCGGGGTGGGGTTCCCCCCGGGGCCCAATCTGCCGGCAGTGGGGAATGGGCCTCTGGGGCGGGGGACTTGGCAAGCCTAAGCCACAGTGACTAACAGGCACCTCCACACTCTGAATCCCAGTGCTGGCAGGCAACTTCGAGGGAAGGCCTCAGCCTCTGTGCCCTGTCGTTGGTCCTTCAAAGTAACTGGTTGGCCACATGCTGGACTAGATGGAACACTGGTCTGATCCAGCAGGGCTCGTCTTCCAGTCTTATCTTCTTAGCCACTATATCAGGTGATTCTGCACTAGGCCTTGAATCCTGGTTCAACCCTGTCCCCAAACATACATTCTGCACTACAGCCAAGTTCATCCCTGTAATTATCTTGGGTTGTTGTTTGTTTCCACATTACATTGAGGTCAGCCCGGTTTCACCCCACACCTGTCCCGGGATAAACAAATGCTGTTATAACCAGGGATACATGCAAGGTTGCGAGTTGAACTCTGAGATGAGAGCCAAGTGTAGAAAAGACCTAAGAAAGAGTAATCTCCGTTTAAGGAGGGATTTCACCCTTTAAAAGACAAAATGCATTCCTCATGAATATAATCCAAGTAAAATCTCAGTTTATAACTAAAGCTCCAGATGAAGATTAGAAACTGCTACTTCAAAAACACCTTCGGCTTCTGAGCAGAATGTTCTAGAACAAAGCCCCCACCTCTCCAGGATCTTCAACAACCAGGAGAGCTCTATGACACCCTGGCTGCATAGTTGATATTTGATGTAGCATGGTTTATATTGGACATAACAGGCTGCAGACAAGTGCTAATGGCTCAAGCGGTTTCCCTGGATCTCTGTCCGAGGAAAAGAGATCAGCCGAGAACCTTCAGAAGGATAAGTCCAGTGAAGGCTTGGAGGAGGAATCCAAATGAGGTCGGAACAGAGCCGGCCCCCTGAAGTGCTGGCACACAAGAGCTTTTGGATACCATCTTGATTGTACCTAATGATTCACCATCCAATGTTTTGTTACAGGAAGCAGAGCTGGTACAGCCTTTCATGACTATGTCCGCAGACGTTCCTCCTGGTGAGAGAATGGTAGGAGACAGCAGTGAGGGTGAGAAATGCAGCACCTGTAACCAATGCTCCCTCTAAGCTGTGGAGTCTTGTGAACAAAAATTCTACTTTGTGAGCGACTGGCATTAAAGTTGTGAGCCAGCGATTTGGCTGCTGCATAAATTAGTTTGCTCTGGAGCCGTCCTTCCTGAGCAGAGACGAAAATGTGTGAGCTGTAGGCTAAGAAACTGTGAGCTAGCTCACACTGACTCGGCTTAGAGGGAACACTGCCTGTGGCTACTTTTCTTCTCCCTCTTCTGTTTCTGTTACTGACAAGGGTTACCAAATGCAGCTTGGAAAATTCCCGGAGATCTGGGAATAGAACCTGGGGAGGGGAGGGTTCGCGGAGGGGAGGAAGTTCAGCGAGGATGTAATGCCATAGAGTCCACCCTACGAAGCTGCCATTTTCTCCAGGGGAACTGACCTCTGTAATCTGCAGGCCAGGTGTAATTCCGAGAGAACCCAGGCACCCCTGTCAGTGACTAATTAGCAAGCTGGGAGCAAGATTTGAAGTTATTGGGCTTTGGGAAAGGTAAGACCAGGGAAGGGATTTTTGACACTTCCCAGCAGTATTGGTGGGCAGCAGACGTGGCCACAGGTCTACATATGAAACTGGTTGATACAGAGAGACAAGACCAGGAGAGGAAGAGTTAGGCCTCCCACTTACCTGCCCCGAGTAGGGAATTACCCATGCCCATCCCCAGCTTCTCATCCCGGAGGAACAGAGGAGCAAGAGAAACAATGGCTTCCACATAGCAACACTCTAGGAAATTCCTCTAGTCTCTGTGGTAAAGACCATAGAGACTAGGGGAGGCAGCTTAGAGCATTGCTTGGAAGTGACATGAGATCCTCCACCAAACTCCATCTACGCCCTCCCCGGCACCCCCTCCTCCAGTCTCCTGGCATTTGTCAAGGCAGTGCTGGGAACCTTAGTTTCAATCCATGGTCCAGTAGGGTGGTAGAAACTAGGACAGGGAAGTCCCCCATTAAGACTAGTCTGGGGGTGACGCAAGAACCTGAAGAGCCCCATCTTTCTGTGTCCTGTTCTAACCTGATGACTGGCAGGTATCATTGTAGGCTGCTGTGTTTTGTTTTATATTGTTTTATACTCCTGGCCTGTTATGTGTGTGTCTTAATATTGATCATTCTTCTGTTATTGTTTGGATTCAATTTTTTTTTAACATTTCTGTGAGCCACCTTCAACAAGACTCTGGAGATGTGGCCGATGAATTCTCTAAATAAACAATAGTGTCCTTTGAAAGTGATTCATGTGTGGGGATGCCAAACTATTTGCCCAGGTCAGGGATCCCTGACCTTTCTGAGCCAGGGGGCCCCTTTGGAATTCTGATGCAGTGTGGTAGGTGAAACCACAAAGTGGATGCCACAAAATGGCTGCTCCAGGAGGCGGGGTCAGCCACAAAATGGCTGCTACCGTGAAGATCCTTGTGCTGTGGTGACACTACTGCCAAAGCAACCTTTTTCAAAAAATCTATGCAGACAGTCAAATGGCCAGTGTCCAATCAGAAGCCTAGATTGGCCAAAACCCCACCTGGCCCTGCCCACTTTCTGAAAATACTTGGTGGGCACCATGTTGGAGACCCCCGGCCTAGGTCACTAGGTATAGCCAGAAAATGTTAATGCAACCGGGGTAGGACCTCTAGAGCCAGGAGCCCAGAAGGGTTTTGTGTGTGTTTTTAACCAATAAAAATGATCCTGAAGGCAAACACACTCTGGTGCTCAATAACTTTTCAAACGCTGACATTGTGCACCTTCCAAAACAGGAGTATATGCATGGGCACACTAAAATAAGGAACCATGTCATATAAGTAAGCATCTACTCATGTGATTAATTACCCAGTTCCATCGTTCCAACGATCCCAAAGCAATAGTTCTCGTTTCCAGCACATTCAGCAGTCTCCTCCACACACTCATGACTGTGCACAACATAGCAAGCTGGGCATCTCTTTCCATTGGGGGTCGTGTTTATGGGTGGCACTGAAAGGAAGAGAAGACATTAAGATGAGTCCTGAAAGAAGAGCAGTCTTGCCAAGGTGATGAGAAGAAGAGTAGAATCCCTCATGGATCAAAGGCAAATGGTTTCTTCACTAAGGTCTCTTCCTAAGCCTCTCCCATTCTGCTAACAAAAGACCAGAAACCCGTGAATATAATAACGAAGAATGTATTTTAAAAAACCACAACCCTGTAAATTTGTATCAAATGTTCCAATCTGAATAAAGAATATTATACAAAACATCTCTGGTGTCAGTTCGATATGGAAAACACCTCCAGATCCCAACAAATCTCCTATCCGAGCCAGTCGTTCTCACTGAAGCAATAAGGACCGATGTTGATGGAGACAAGGTGACCCAGTTAATGGGGCACCTTCTCCATGGATCTTCTTCAGGAAGAGGTACCGCAACCGAGCAGAATGAATCCATATTGCATTGAGTCTTTCCTCTCCCTAGCTGCGTCTGATTAAACAGCTCCAAAATTCCAAAGAGGTAATTCTGAAGAGGTACTTCCAAAGAAAGGAGCTGCGGTGGCTCAAGTGGTTAAGATGCTGAACTGCAGGCTATGGAAGGTCGGTAGTTCAGCAGTTCGAGACCCGGGTGCCACATGACGGAGTGAGCTCCCGTCTCTAGTTCCAGCTCCTGCCAACCGAGCAGTTCGAAAGCAAGAAATTGCAAGTAGATAAATAGGGACCACTTCGGTGGGAAGGTCACAGCATTCTGTGTGCCTTGGCGTTTAGTCATGCCGGCCACATGACCACGGAAATGTCTTTGGACAGCGCTGGCTCTTTGGCTTGGAAACAGAGATGAGCACCACAACCATAGAGTCAGATTCGACTGGCTTTTGAGCAAGGGAACCTTTACCTTTACCTTTTTACTTCCAAAGAGGTGTTGTAGTGCTGTCAGCTGCATCTTGGAGAGTCTCTCCAAAGACAAGCTGAACTGCCTTACATTGGGGAACATAAGAACACAAGAGAAGCCAATGTTGGATCAGGCCAAAGGCCCATCCAGTCCAACACTCTGTCACACAGTGGCTAAAAATACCAGGGGCCATCAGGAGGTCCACCAGTGGGGGCAGGGCACTAGAAGCCCTCCCACTGTTGACCCCCCCCCAAGGGGGTGTCTGGGAATCTGTAGACTCTAAAGAGACCCCTGTAGGGGGTTCCTGAAGCTGGGGGTACCTTTTCTGGAGTGATCCCCTTGGTTTCACCTGAGAGCTGATCGCCCGAAGAGAACCCCTGTTAGCCCCGGCAGGCGTGGCTTTTAGCTACGAGCTCCGGAAGACGACAGCGTGGATTTTGAGAGCGGAAGCTTTATTCTGCCTGTGACTTCCCGGTGTAACAGGCCGGATTAACCCCCCCGCCAGAGTAACCCCGGGTTAATCTGGCCAGCTGTAACAGGCCAGATTCACCCCCCGGCCAGAGTAACCCCGAGGTTACTCTGGCCTAGCCTAGAATAACCCCCCATTCCCCCCCTGGCCAGAGAAACCCTGGGGTTACTCTGGCCTAGGCTAGAATAACCCCCCAAGGCCAGATTAACCCCCCAGGCCTGCTTTCTGGGGCTGCTGTCTTTTCCTACTAAGAGAGATATTTCCCCAATAACCAGAAAGAACCACCTTCTATTGCCAGAGGCACTGCCTTTTACTCTTGGGAAGCCCAAATACCGAGGGCACCCCACTTATAACCTGACCCAGAGAGCCACAGGACATAGAGCACGGCCCAGCTCAGACACTGGTTCTGGCCCCACACTCTTCTATTTGGAGTGCATCCATGACGACATTATTCTTAAGGAGATTTTAATAAGGAACTGCTTGCTCTTGGGATCTACTAAAAGGAAGGACAGGATTGCCCATTGGAAACAATGAGAGACGCTGGAAGGCCCATTGGAAACCATGGGAGCCAGGAATGCCAATTGACTTGCATGGGCTCCATTAGAAAACATTAGGGTACGGGCTTCCGGTCTGGCTCCCGCGTATGGCGGACGCATCCTCGGGTCGCTCCCGAGGGCGCCTCGCCCGCCCGCGGTGGAGGAGGGAATCCGCGCGAGCGGAGACCCGAACGAGCACCTCAGGAGAGAGGAGCTCGGATCCTTCCCCCCCACCCAGCGAAAAAGGCGAGGAGGTTAATCCTCTAACTGCATAAGCGAAAAAGAAAAGGAGGGGGGGAATGGACTGAGCGAACAGTGATGTTTTCCCTTGATGTATTTGAAATAAAGCGAGAGAAAGTTTTGTCTCTCTGGAGCACAATTTAAGAACTTTCTAAAAGTAAACAAAAAAGAAAAGATGTCGGAGCTGGGCAAAAGCGAGCGGAGAAGAAGGGAGGGACTTCCGTCTGGGCGTTTGCTTGTGTGTGAGAGCCGGCTGTTTAGTGTTTTGGACTGTTTATGGTTGTGAATCCGACGGGAGTTCTGTAAAATGGAAAAGTTTGAACTGTGACAGCGAGGAGTGCCTGGTAAGCGCTTATATACGTCCAGTTTCGAGGAGGACCCAATAGAGAGTTTGGGAGCGGAAATAAAAGCGAAATTAAATTAATACCATTCTCAAAGCTGGGGACCTCCAAGGCATGAAAGGAAGAGGATTTATAATGCATGAACTGAGTGTGTTAACAGCAACCCGAAGGAGAATTTAACAAGCCGGAAGTAGAAGGCAACAGAGGAAACCCCTCCTTGTCAGCGAGTAAAAGTGCCCAACACGCAAAGAAGCGCAAAGAAGCGGTTCTGACTGTATCCAGAAGAGTTTTTTTTTTTTATTAACAGAACTCAAGGGAACATTACTAATATACTAACAGAGAATTATATGTGACTGGACTAAGAAAAGAAGTTTGACAACACACAGAAGAAGCCCAAGAAGATTAATTGGACATTACTAACAGTTTAATTTACCAGTTTATATATCACTCAGCTTTCTCTTACTCCCACTGTCTACCCTTCCCATTTTTTCTTTTAAGCGAAATACCTCCCCTTTTTAGGGGAGCCAATAAAATCTTTATTAAAAAAAGAAGAAAACATTAGGGTACAAGTACAGTTGCAATAAAAATGCGGAATGGATTTTCCATTAGGGTCTCTGGGCTCAAATACACTATTCTGAGGATGGAATGAGAGACCACGTAGTGGAATGACGGCCCCAGGGTGGAGCAGGAGTGTTCAGGCACTGGGATGACAGGCCACGGAGTGGAATGACGGCCCCAGGGTGCAGAAGTAGTGTTCAGGCACTGGGTTGACAGGCCACGGAGTGGAATGACAGCCCCAGGGTATACCAGGAGTGTTCTGGGTCTGGGATGACAAGCCACGGAGTGGAATGACAGCCCCAGGGTATACCAGGAGTGTTCTGGGTCTGGGATGACAAGCCACGGAGTGGAATGACAGCCCCAGGGTGCAGCAGGAGTGTTTTGGAACTGGGGTGACAGGCCATGGAGTGGAATGACAGCCCCAGGGTGCAGCAGGAGTGTTCTGGAACTGGGATGACAGGCTATGGCAAATAAAATGCAAGTCTGTGGTCAGGCAGGCAAAAAGGGAATATGAGGAGCATATAGCAAAAAACGTAAAGACCAACAAAAAAACTTTCTTCAAATACATTAGGAGCAGGAAACCAGCCAGGGAGGCAGTGGGGCCCTTGGATGACCAAGGGGACGAGAGAGGAGGTCCTAAAACTGATAGACAACTTAAAAACTGATAAATCATGAGGCCCAGATGGCATACATCCGAGAGTTCTGAAAGAACTCAAATGTGAACCCTACGAACGTGTTGCAGCGCTGTTACAGAAGGACAAAAGAAAGGCCCTGACAGATCAGACCAGTGGTCCACGTGGTCCAGCATCCTGTCTCATCCTGCAGCCTACCAGTTGCCCTGGTGGGTCAACAAAGAGACCATAGAGTCTTCCCTGATGCTGCCTTCTAGCACAGCTATTCAGAGACTTTCCGTAGCCACCATGACTAGCAATCATTGATAGACCTAGCCAATGCTCCCTTCTAACCTGTGGAGTCTTGGGAGCAAAAATTCTACTTAGTGGGCAACTGGCATTAAAGTTGCCAGTGAGCAATTTGGCTACTGCACGAATCAGTTTGCTCTGGAGCCATCCTTCCTGAGCGAAGACAAAAATGTGTGACCCAGAAGATTAAAAAAAAAACCAGTGAGCTAGCTCACACTAACTCAGCTTAGAGGGAACACTGGACCTATCCTTCATGGATCTATCTAAGTGCCTTTTAGAGTCACCCATGTGTGTGGCTATCACTGCACCCAGTGGCAGTGTATTCCACAATTATTTACTTGTTAAGCAAAGCTGGTATTCCCAGGAGTCATATATGGCTGCGAGAGTTGGACTATAAGGAAGGCCGAGCAACGAAGAATTGATTCTTTTGAACTATGGTGCTGGAGAAGACTCTTGAGAGTCCCTTGGATTGCAAGGAGATCAAATCAGTCAATCCTAAAAGAAATCAACCCTGACTGTTCCCTGGAAGGCCAGATAATGAAACTGAAGCTCAAATACTTTGGCCACCAAATGAGAAGGGAGCAGTCACTGGAGAAGACCCTGATGCTGGGAAAGATTGAAGGTCAAAGAAGACAGGGAGGGCAAAGGATGAGATGGTTAGACAGTGTCATAGATGCAGCAAACATGAAATTGAGCCAACTTCAGAGGACGGTGGAAGACAGGAGGGCCTGGCGCGATCTTGTCCATGGGGTCGCGAAGAGTCGGACTCGACTGTGCGACTGAACAACAACAAAAACCTCCATCCCCCCACCCCCAAGTTCTAGCATCATGGGAGAGAGGGGGAAAGCACTGTCTTATCAATTCTACCCCATGCATACAAGCTAGATGGGATTTAATGGAGCATTTGGCAGGGGCTGTGGAGAAGAATAACATTCTTAGAGAGCTGATGTGCTACGTGGGAATGGAGAAGGGAAGGATAGATGAGAGGAGTGACGTACAAGCGGGAAGAATCTTCTGGCAGTTGTTTCCCATGCAGCAGGTAGTCCGGGAGAACATCTGTCCTGCCCTGCCCAGATTAATAGAATGGTCGGGTTCAGCGCAGTCCCTCGATCGGATGCATGACTTCACAATGGCCTTCACTTGCATCACTGAAGGGATTGAAGAAGAAAGGAGAAGGAAGTGAATTAGATGACATGTTATGGTATCCTGTATGCAAATCGTACATGGTTTTGAGTCCTCTGATCCATTTGCTACCCGCCTTCCCAAAGGGAGTGGTGGCGCAGGGGATAATTCCCCTGCTTAACTATAACATCTGAACTGCCAAGCTTTGTCAGTTCTAGCCCCGTGCTAGTGTGAGCAACCAAGCCTTGTCCTAGCTCATTGTCCACCCAGCGATTCAAAAGCTTCGGCAAGTAGATAAATTGGGGACCCCCCCGTAAGGGGGTGGGCACACCACTCCCTTTGGGAAGGGGTTAGCTGCCGCGTGTGACTTCTGTGGCGCAGCAAGATCAAAAGATGAAAGATCTGTTTTGGCACCCCTGCAGTGGAGCAAGTCGGCCAGGAAGTGGTAGTGTGTGGCACCGCGACATCAAGAAGCCCTGACGTCATCAGCCAGCCGACAAGAATACATGCCGTCGGAACACGACTGATCCAGCCCGCAGATGAATCCTACAGCCAGCTACAATGTGTGTGTAATTAAAAATGCTGTATGTTGTCTTCCCTATCCCCCATGAATATTGTTAGTCCAATTGTCATGAGTAACTGTAAATCGCTCTGAGCCCGCAGGTGTGTGGGAAAAAGCGATCAATAAATCGAAAGTATTATTATTGTTGTTGTTGTTGTTGTTGTTGTTGTTGTTGTTGTTGTTGTTGTTGTTGTTGTTGTTGTTGTTGTTGTTGTTGTTGTTGTTGTTGTTGTTGTTGTTGTTGGAAAGATGCCCACCTGAACTGCATGCAAACCAGTGATCTGCCACTGAACTGCCAGATACCCAAGGGCAAAGGATAGCTCCACGTAGCTCAGAACTGTAAATCCCAAAGCACGGAAGCAATTCACGTTGCAAACCACAACCGGGTGGCTGACCTTCCAGGCAGCATTCTTTACCCAAAGGGAGACTCCAGCAAGAAACCCCCCCGGCTTTCCATCAGGGGCCCCCAACTTACCACTCTGGACAGGCAGGCAGGCAAGCAGGTGGGCCCCGGATGAGATGCGCTCACCGGCCGGCCAATGGGCAGAGTGCCCGCCCAGTGGCCCATCATGGCCATCCTCTCTTGCTCCAACTCACCCCATGGTGCTCTGCTCCGCCCCCAGCCAGGAGGCTCCTGGCAGCCGCCTCGTCGTCTCCGGCCCCAGCCGGTCCCTTCCATGCTGGGCAGAGCAAGCGAGAGCCCCTGCCTGCCTGCCTGCCTGCCCGCCTGCCCAGGCACTGACAGTCGGGATGGGACAGCGAGTGGACGTGGTGGGGGCTGTGAACCCTCTTTCTAGAGTGGGGAGTGAGGCCCCTGGTGACGGGGTGTCTGCGCACAGACCGGGCGGGCGCGTTCCTTCGTCCCAGGGCTCCAGGACAATGACTCATGCTTCGGGCCCACGTTTGAGTGGTGGGAGCAAGGGAAGAGGGGAGCTGTGTGCAAGGGAACTTCAAAACCCGTGTCCCCCCCCCCCCGCAGCGCACCAGGACTGAGTCGGGGCTGGAAGTCAACTCTTTGGAAGGCCCCGATTCAAACCCTTTTTATTTTAATTTCAGTGCCCCCTGAATTATTTAAAGCACCCCCCCCCCGATTTAAGACATCCTGGCTACGGGCCTGATTAGCAATTCATCGAGACCCTCCTGTGGAAATGGAAGCTGCATGTATTCAGAAGACATTTCCCATTCGCTGGACTTCTGCTGGCAAGCTTTGGTCTTTGGGACTTACACCCCGAGCCTTCCATCTGTACGATGCCGCAAGAATCCTTCTCGGGGAGACAATGCTCCCAGCTTCCAGTGCAGGTGTTCCTAAAGGCGTGGCACGTCTCACATGACAAAGACCGCCCTGACAAGAGGGAAAAGAAGGAAGACAGATAAATCCTCTTTTTTTCACCTTGTTTTTCCAATTTTAGTAGAGCTGACACAAATTTCACCTATTGCTCGGTGGTGGTGGTGGTGGTGGTGGAAAGTGCCGTCAAGTCGAAGCTGACTTCTGGTGACCCTGCATGGGTAGTGATGATGATGATGATGATGATGATAATTATTTATTGATCGCTTTCCCCACACACACCTGCAGGCTCAGAGCGATTTACAGTCCTCATACAACCCATCCTCGTGGGCTGGTAGAGGCTACCACACGGTGTGTTCAGTGCATGGATGTTCAATGCCACTGTACATATCCCAGCTCTCTCTGAAAGAGGGCTGTTTTTCTTTGCCCCTTTCCTGCATGCACTTTCTTTAGAACACTTGTAGACAACTCATCTGTTCCTTTATAAGACAGTTCTGTTTGAAGGTCAATAGGTGGCGCTAAACTGGTGGGAAGGCAGTCCTCTGTGGTCTCTTCCTCTGAGGACCTCACGCCCACCTCCTTCATTCGGTGAGCTTCTTCTGAACAAGGATGTGTACATAAACTGTCTTTCAACAATTCGTATCTCTTGGTGACGTGTTGAAAATATACCGTTGATTCACTTCATCATAAAGCTATGCTTACAACTATGTTCTTCAATGGGCATTCAGCAATCATAGGCAGTTTATGTACACATCCTTGTTCGGAAGAAGATCATTGTCGAAACGGCACACCATTCCGGAGACCACCGTCTACATTCACTATATATATTACTTATTTTCTGTTATTGTATACTATGATTTATGAATATATGACCAAGCGCTAAATTGTTACAGTTTTTTTTTTCCTTTTTCAGAGTTCCGGGCTGTTCCATTACAGACGACATCCTTTCAGACGAAGTACTTTTTAATGTTTCCTCAAGAGGGGAAAAGCCTCCCCGTGCCACAGAGCCACAGCTGCTGGTGTGACCGTGGGTCAGTCACAAGTTCTTTCAGAGCTGTTCTCTTAAGGGCAGTTCTTCAGAGAGCTCTCTCAGCCCCACCTACCTCACAGGGGGTCTGTTATGGGGAGGGGAGGGGAAACCACAGAATTCCAGGCTGTTTCATTACAGACGACATCCTTTCAGACTAAGGACTATTGAATGTTTCCTCAAGGGGGGGGGATCTCTCCCCCTGCATGTAGAAAACCAGCACCTCAGGCAATAGTTTTACCAATCAGAAAACCTGTTTTTCTGACAAGGTAATTAACCTTTAGGTCTAAGAAGCCAGAAGACTCCAGATGGTTTGCAGCTGTGGCACTTGCCAAATAATTTAGGGCAAGGCCCATGCTCTTACCTAGATCACGCCCAGCCTAGCCTGGTCTCATCCGATCTCAGAAGGGAAGCAGGGTCAGCCCTTGTGAGGCTTACCATTCCCCCATGGGGGGCTGCCCGTTTTCAGGGCTTTGATCCACTGCCCCAGACTCAGCCGGCAGGGGGAACCCCTTCCCTAAAGTGCCACGTTTGTGCCAATGTGCCTGGCATGACGATGTCACTTGAGGATGCCCTATCAGTCAAGGAAAAACTCTATGGTCTTTCCTCGAACAATAGAGGCCACGCCCACAATGTGCCCTGCATGATGACGTCACTTCCGAAGAACTCCCAGACCAGAAGAAGGAACCTCCCCCACCCCACTGGCAGTCAGGTAAGATCTGGAAACCCTACCCCTTGTCAGTACTTGGATGGGAGGCCACCAAGGAAGTCCGGCGTTGCTACGCAGAGGCAGGCCATGGCAAACCACCTCTGAACCTCTCTGGCCTCAAAAGCCTTCTTTAAAAAAGGTAAAGGTAAAGGTTCCCTTGCTCAAAAGCCAGTTGAGTCCGACTCTAGATTTGCAGTGCTCATCTCCGTTTCAAAGCCGAAGAGCCAGCGCTGTCCGAAGACGTTTCCGTGGTCATGTAGCCGGCATGACTAAACACCAAGGCGCATGGAACGCTGTTCCCTTCCCACCAAAGTGGTACCTATTTATCTACTTGCAATGTCTTGCTTTCGAACTGCTAGGTTGGCAGGAGCTGGAACTAGAGACGTGAGCTCACTCCGTCATGCGGCACCCCTGGGTCTCGAACTGCTGAACTACTGACCTTCCACAGCCTGCAGTTCAGCGTCTTAACCACTTGAGCCACTTCTTGGGGGTCTCCATAAGCCAGCTGTGCCTTGACGGCACTTCCCACCACCAAGGCCCACGAACACGGCAAGGCCTGTTAGGGTGTCTCCTTGACCCTGCCCCAGTTCTGTTCCCGAAACGGAAAGTGGACAACTCCATCAGTGAGAGCGCTGTGCGAAAACAAAACCCCGTCTCCCTGGGTGTTTCATTTCCCCACAGGGAATGATCTTTTCCTTGTGAGAAGGAGAGGCTAAAAGACGGCGTGTTAAAGCCATCCATTGCTTCAAAAAGTGGCAGGATACCATATTTATAACAAGAGGAAGCATGATTCGCCGCAGGAATGGGAGACGGTGCTGTTTCAATGCCATCTACTGGATATCTGAGGAAGCAATGAGAAACAGGCAGGAAGCCTCGCCTAGGACAAAAAAAACTCATGGACTACTTTGGCTAGACTACAGGTGAGAGCTTTCATTGACTTTTGGCTAGTTCTGCGAGGGGCCAGCAGACCAATCAAACAGCTTCCACACAGGACCTCCCACCTTTCTTAAAGGCACAGTCCCACAAGAATTTCTCCTGTAAATGCTTTTTTCCCCAATCATTTAAAAACTGGTCTCTTTTAAGAGAGTTTTTCTGTCTTAACTTTTAGCTTTCTTGACTACAGAAGCCATCACCCCCACCTGCCGGCTTGTTCTCAGAATTGTTGCTTAGGCTGGCAGAAGTGATTAACTTGCAGCAGCTGAGAACTGTCATCCAAAGTGGTCGACAGCTTGCAATTTAGAGATCTATCCTGGTCACAGCTTTCCATGGGCTAAATGTTTTTTTTTTTCCAGCACTGAGAACTGCAGCCCCACTAGAAGAAAAAATTGCCCCACAAGCCACAAAATCCTGGCTACGGGCCTGCTTCCCCATGAACACTTTTACCAAGGAAGATGGCTTGCAAGATCAAAGCCCATGCAGCAGCATCACAACACCCCCTCCATCTTTTACAGGGGCCTAAGAACAGCTTGGTGTTTAGTCATGCTGGCCACATGACCACGGAAACGTCTTCGGACAGCACTGGCTCTTCGGCTTTGAAATGGAGATGAGCACCGCAACCCTAGAGTCGGACTCGACTGGCTTTCAAGCAAGGGAACCTTTACTTTTACCTTTAAGAACAGAAGATTCACTGTGTTGTAAGTATATATCTTTTAGCTAAAGCTTAAACACTCCTTAAACACGTGAAGCTACCTCATACTGACCAGGCCATTGGTCTACTGATATCAGCATTGTCTGCTCTGACTGGCAGCTGGGGTTGACGAGCACACGGGAGGGGGGGTTACCAGGATCCTCTGGGAGAGGGGAGGGAGGGCCGGGAGAGGGAACTCCAGAGTGAGTTCGGTGTGAGCTGCCCTCACACTTCAAGGGACCTCATTCCTTTTAAATGCTTTCCCTCCACTGGAAATGATGGAGGAGGGGGGGCACTTTCCCAATGGTGAGGCAAGTACTAAAGACCTCTGACTCCCTGTCCTGAAGTGGCTTTAATAATTTGGGAGTGAATTGATAAGAAGCCAGTATTTGCTTGAAGAAGAGGGATGTGAGATAGATGATTGAGATGGAGAGATGACAGACAGAGAGAGAGAGAAAGAAAGATGATAGATAGATAGATAAGATGATTGATAGATAGATAGATAGA